GTGCTGGCGTTTCCTCTTTTTGAGGTCTTTAGGATGCTTCAAAAGTTATATAATTTTGCACGGACGCCAGGACCGGTGAAAAATTCACATTATTGTGATTGTACAATACATATTATTGACTTTTCATTCAGGAAGTATGACGCTGCGCTGTCAGAAGCTTCTCCATGTTTGTGATTGGTCGAATGCTCCAGATACTACCCCTTTCATGTGAACGCACCTAACTAGATAGGACACGGCTGGCTTGAGCGATCCACTTGATAACCCGCATCGTAGGACCGCTTAGCGAGAGCGCGTATGTTTTGGATTAGACCAACCGGCTAACTCCAACATATCCAGGTTAGGTTGAACCAGCTTCGTAGGACAGGCCTCTGCTGAGTCTCAGGAGGAAATCAACAACAAAGTGCTGAATGTCTTATAAACACAGATCTGGAGTCAAACCGAATGAATGTTTCTGAATATAAATCTGACGTCATCGTCTTCTCCCTCTTCCTCTTCCTCCTCTTCTCCTCCTCCTTCTCCTCCTCTTCCTCCACCTCTTCCTCGTCTTCTCCCTGCAGGCAGACACCTTTAAGTTTTTTTTATCAAATCTGGGCATGAAAACAAACAACATGAAACGGTTCATTTTAAAGAGGCCCTCTTCTTCTTCTGTGGTGTTCCCTCTCCTGCAGTCTGTGGCCGTTTCTCAATGTCGAGTAAACCTGCTATCTCCAGTATACTACGTCATCGAGTGGCGCCGAAGGACTGTTTAAATGCATGTTAAATGCCCAGCATTCGGCGCCACTCGACGTAGTATAGTTGAAATAGTGGCTCTGCAGCAGGTATACTCGACATTGAGAAACGGCCAGTGTTTCTGGAATTTGACTTTTTCATAATTTAACTTTTTTTCATTATTTAACTTTTTTCTATAATTTACTTTTTTCTCAGAGTTGACTTTTTGTCGACGCTCTAAATACTAACCAACATGAGCAGGACCGGCTTCTTTAAATGTTTCCTCCTGAAATACATCTCTTTAATTTATAAAATAAGATAGATAAAATACATAAAATATAATATAGGATTATTAGGGAGTGAAAGGAGTCAGCACGCCCCCCCGCAGCTCTGTTACCTGTGCAGGTGTGTAGGAGACGCTTCTTCCCGCTCAGCTACAGCTGTGCTCGGGGGCAAAGGTCACGCCTCTCCCTGCTCGCTCCTGAGACCCACTGCTGCCCGAGCTCTTCCTCATGATGCCTGAGCAACACATTACTGCTGTTATTATCAGTGTTATGATGAACGCAGTGTGGCTCCCCACCTGCAGGGGGCAGCAGCTCTGAACAACACCATTATTGTTGTTGTTGTTATCAGTGTTATAATGAACGCAGTGTGGCTCCCCACCTGGAGGGGGCAGCAGCTCTGAACAACACCATTATTGTTGTTGTTGTTGTTATTGTTATTATCAGTGTTATAATGAACGCAGTGTGGCTCCCCACCTGCAGGGGGCAGCAGCTCTGAACAACACCATTATTGTTGTTGTTATTGTTGTTATCAGTGTTATAATGAACGCAGTGTGGCTCCCCACCTGGAGGGGGCAGCAGCTCCGCTCTCAGGCTGTTTCTCCGGGCGGAGAGGCGGCGCTGCCTGTGGTTCAACATGGCCGCCAGAGAGACGATGCCAGGGGGCGGAACTTTCCCCATCCTCAGGTACAGCTGCTCGATCTCTCGCTTCTGATTGGCCTGCAGCTCCTGCACCTCTGCGTGTTGTCTGCCAATGAAAACATTGGAAATGGTTTTGCCTTCATTCTGACATTATTAGGTAGAAAGTTAAACCCCCCCCCCCCGATCTGTCTAATTTAAACCTGCATACAATCCTATCGACCAATCACCTTTCACGAAGCTCCTGCAGCTCCGCCCACATCTCCTCGTTCTCACTCCCTGATTCGTCAGAGCTGATGAGGGGCGTCGAGCGGCTCCACGATTGGCTAAGCCGGCGCCCCCTCCCATCCTCTTCCTCCTGTCCTCTGGAGAGCTTCACTGTGCTGCTCTCTGATTGGCTCGTCTCCTCCGTGCTGCTCTCTGATTGGCTCGCCATGGAAGGAGGAGGGGAATGAGTGGTGGGTGTGGCCTGACTGAGGGGGCGGGGCTCGGGATGACGGACAGCAGGAACATCTTTAGAGGGTGACACCTGGAAACGCCCGACGGTGAGGGAGACCTGGGGGGGAGGGTGAAACCGGGTTTCTTTGAGGTCCCATCAGACTCCAGAACCAGGACCATGACCCGGACCATGACCCGGACCATGACCCGGACCAGAACCAGGAACATGACCCGGACCATGAACCGGACCATGACAAAAACCAGGACCATGACCTGGACCATGATCTGGTTGTTTTGGTTCATTACTAAATGTTGAGGAGTTCCTGAATGCATTATGGTTTCTCAACTCAACTCAACTCAACTTTATTTATAAAGCCCTTTTCAAAACAGCCGGAGCTGAAACAAAGTGCTGTACATGCCATAAAAAACAAAAATAAAACAACAATAAC